GATTGAAGGTAAATTTGCAGTGTTTTACAAGAAATTATGTGAACTCTAAGTAAACCACGATGATAACGAGGACGTGGCAAAACAAATTCTTTAATGAGTAGAATGATAGCTCGGTTTGCGCGTTTAAAAATTCGGGAAATTTGCGTCGTCGGAGAAGAGGAAGTTTTCACTAAGGATTTAACGCTGCACTGATCACAAATTTTGTGCGGTAGTCGAGTTATGGTGCTGTAGGAGACATTAAGTACATCCAGCCATCTGCGAAATTATTGCTAGAGATATAGGTTCATTTTTGTAATGGACGTATTCCAAGGTGTTGCTGTCCTGACTGCCTAGATAGCTATAGCTAGAAATATAGGTTCATTTATGTAATCGACTACTTCCTCGTTGTTCCAAATAAGGTTCCAAATATTTTAGTGTTGCAAACGCTTTCGTTTGCCTGCTTATCATTTCCGTGCTTTGGATGTATAACGAAGCGTTGATGTTTGCTTGCGAGGGAAACAGTTAAATTTGTTTCCCTCGATTCTCAAAGTTTCGCGCAATTTTCGTCTCGGAAAACATTGAGACTCTGGAAAACAAAGCTACTCTTACCCTTGCAAGCAGACATTAAATGTACGATACAATCTGCGCATTAAGTGGCGTCCATTTTAAATTCTCGACTATGGCGCGTTATCAGTGTCAAAATTACCATGTAACCTCTCGTTCAGTATTAATTTCGAAACCTATCTTTGGTAAGACCACAGAAAATAGGGCCCATCATTCACACCTTGTTAAATCACCATACAGCGCTGTTGTACTCGCCTCGTTCGCAGACAAGGTGCATATCGATTATTTTAATACCCAATCTCATGTCATTAATTTTTTTTCGATGAAGCTTTTTATGCGATTCTTCATCAAACGTCTTAGGTTTAGCTTCTCATGCGATCGATATTTCAAGCAAATTGTAACCCATCAAGTTTTATGGAAATTCTTCTCCAATTAAATTTTTTATGCAAAAACATTTGAATAGATGCACCAACAATCCTAAGGGGTAAAATATGTTGCGTTAGGAAGACAGTGTCCTAGAAACACTCCTATGATGCATCGCCAGCCTGAATAGTCACGTATCATCCCACATTTGTCATATTACTAGAGACTTCTATGGGCTGCCGTGTAATAGTCACTCAATAACCATAAATTTGTTTTTCGTTTCATTCCTACTTTATTGAAAGACGACATTGACTGGTGGGCATCAGGACTCCGAAAATACGATTGAAGGTAAACTTGCAGTGTTTTACAAGAAATTATGTGAACTCTAAGTAAACTACGATGGTAACGAGGACGTGGCAAAACAAATTCTTTAATGAGTAGAATGATAGCTCGGTTTGTGCGTTTAAAAATTCGGGAAATTTGCGTTGTCAGAGAAGAGGAAGTTTTCACTTGGGATTTAACGCTGCACTGATCACAAATTTTGTGCGGTAGTCGAGTTATGGTGCTGTAGGAGACATTAAGTACATCCAGCCATCTACGAAATTATTGCTAGAGATATAGGTTCATTTTTGTAATGGACTTATTCCTCGGTGTTGCTGTCCTGACTGCCTAGATAGCTATAGCTAGAAATATAGGTTCATTTATGTAATCGACTACTTCCTCGTTGTTCCAAATAAGGTTCCAAATATTTTAGTGTTGCAAACGCTTTCGTTTGCCTGCTTATCATTTCCGTGCTTTGGATGTATAACGAAGCGTTGATGTTTGCTTGCGAGGGAAACAGTTAAATTTGTTTCCCTCGATTCTCAAAGTTTCGCGCAATTTCGTCTCGGAAAACATTGAGACTCTGGAAAACAAAGCTACTCTCACACTCGCAAGCAGACATTAAATGTATGATACAATCTGCGCATTAAGTGGCGTCCATTTTAAATTCTCGACTATGGCGCGTTATCAGTGTCAAAATTACCATGTAACCTCTCGTTCAGTATTAATTTCGAAACCTATCTTTGGTAAAACCACAGAAAATAGGGCCCATCATTCACACCTTGTTAAATCACCATACAGCGCTGTTGTACTCGCCTCGTTCGCAGACAAGGTGCATATCGATTATTTTAATACCCAATCTCATGTCATTAATTTTTTTTCGATGAAGCTTTTTATGCGATTCTTCATCAAACGTCTTAGGTTTAGCTTCTCATGCGATCGATATTTCAAGCAAATTGTAACCCATCAAGTTTTATGGAAATTCTTCTCCAATTAAATTTTTTATGCAAAAACATTTGAATAGATGCACCAACAATCCTAAGGGGTAAAATAAGTTGCGTTATGAAGACGGTGTCCTAGAAACACTCCTATGATGCATCGCCAGCCTGAATAGTCACGTATCATCCCACATTTGTCATGTCACCAAAGACTTCTATGGGCTGACGTGTAGTAGTCACTCCCATAACCATAAATTTATTTTTCGTTTCAAAATGGATCCAAATGTACTGCGTGAATATGCACAACGTCCTCTGGAGATGAGGAACAAATCAGAGCACTACAACAACATCAGCACATACCTCCTTTTGGTTTTTCAAAATAGTGTCATGGAAAATACCTGAAAAAATCTCTTAAATGATCAAGATTAAAGTTCGTCATTTGACTGCAATAGAAAGACAACATGATAGCTGTTGATATTCGTAAAAGTTTAATTTGTGAGAAGAACTGCTGGAACTTCTGAAGAAGATAGATTTTATGTCGATGTCGAGCGTTTGTGAATTTTAAAGTTGCTTTAGTTGCAAAAGAGAGGTTTATAGAAAAGAAATTGCCTCACAGAGTAGAAAATTTGCCAGTTCATTAAAAAGGAAGGCCTAGTTTAATGCCCCACTTTGCCCGGGGTATGGGGTGCGGATCTTGCCGGGAAAGTTCTTTCATGTGTAAACAGTGTCTATTTTGGGGAGCAAGGATGGTGCAATGGTGAAAGCAGCATTATTTGAGACCAAATTTGCAACTCACTAAGTTCAATTACAATTTATTACATCCATTTTATGATAACAAAATTCAATTGCTCAAATACAGGATTTTTTAGTCTGTACAAACAGTTCACTGGCTCAGTACTTAATTGGTTTGCACAAAAAGTTCAAGGAATTGTTCAGTCTGTGTCCGAATCACTTTCCATGAAATGGAATCGTCGTTTGCGAGGTTTAACCATGTTTTTTCTTAATTTCGGCGTAGAATCGCTCGTGCAAAGTGTTAAGCTACGTCGGCTCGTAACTTTCGATTTCCTTAGCAATTTCCTCCTCTAAACACCACTTTTTCCAAACCAACAACTAAAAAGCAGTGCTTTTTACAGTTTTTTTTCAGTTGCTGTATTGTTGTTACGGTGGCGAAAGAAAACCTACTTAAAACGCCGGCAATTGTTTCGCTCGCAATTTTTCAGCGTATCCAAATGTTATGACATCCAAGGCTCGCATTTGATCGGCTATCTGTGAGTTTCTTTGATTATTGACCGATCAGAATGTCTGGTTTGTTACTTCTTTGCACTGAATTAATCCTCTCCTGCATCGAAGTACCTGAAAACTGCATTTAACTTAACCAATCAGAACTGAGTAATTTTTTCATGTATATTGATAACGCAGTTACAGAATAGAAGTCAGAAAAATTAACTTCGGCGTAATTCGAACCCATGCCTCCCAGATTCTAGATGGACGCTACTGCCAACTGAGCAACGATACCACGTGATGGGAGAAAGTTTAGACATTTTAGCAACTTCATGGGTTTAGCGAAGGTGAAGAAAATGTTATCTAAAGTCAGTTGATGCTTGTGCCAAAATTCTTTATTTTTGCGATTTATTTTTTTCGGTTATGACGTTGTTTCTTTAACCCATAGTGCCCGTAGTGTTTCTTTTAGTTATTATTATTATTATTATTATTATTATTATTATTATTATAATCATTATTATTCCTAAATTTTTTATCATTATTTTAATCAATATATTACTTGTAGTATTGTAGTATTGGTGTAGCCATGTGTAACTGTACAGCACCATGTATTCTGCCATGCTTTGGTAAATTGCAAAATATCTATTTGGGTTATATTCTATTAACCAGTGACCAAGACAGATTTTTTTTTCCGCACAATACAAATACAATCTCAAGCAGACAAGCGATTCCAACAAATGAAAAAAATCAATTTCTCTGAAGTAACATCATGAGATTTGTGTAACAGATAGTAAGGAGAATTACTAAAGAAATCTTGGGAGTGAAAGGATGAAGTGTCTGTCCAACAGTTACTGAATGCTGCTATTAAAATGATATTTCTATATCTGTATGAGAGAAGGCTACTAGGAAAAGAGAGCAATTTTCATGTATTAGTTTTCTCAGTATTAATCAATGTCTTTATTTGACTATGTACTATTTGCGTCTCTGTTGTTTGTAATGGAAATAGAACTGAGTGGAGTCCAATTCGGGCTGTTATCATACGAATGATAACAAAATCGGACGACCGCGCAACGGGAGTCCGATTTGTTTATCACCAGTACAATTACAGACCGAAGTGGACGACACGAAGTGTTATTACTGATTAATCATAAAAATCAGTATTGTTGAGCTGTCCGATAACAAACTGTCTGATGACAACTTGGTAAGTGAATAAGTGGAAAATATAGGTTTTTTAAACCAATCACAATCGAGGAAATTGTAATTTTGTGATTGAAAGTGTGATTCCTTTATCACTTTCTAACGTTTATATCGTCGTTAGTATAACTGTTTGAGAAGATGTAATTTAATGTAAAGGGTATCTAATTAGCTCTCTATTATGCCCTTCTCTATTTTCTCTCTCTCGGTTACAATTATCCAAAAGGTTGTAATTGTTGAAATGGAACAAGTAACAAAAAACGAAAAAAAGGTAAAGTGACAGTAAAAAACACCTAAATACGAAGAAAGAAAGTCTTAGGGAACTAATGGTAGACTGCTTGTAACTTTGTCATATCTTTAAAGGCCACTTTCTTTCAGAAATTGTGAGACGTTGACACTGAACGGCGTCCCCCACCAAACTTCATCATTGTTATGTACAATTCTCGAAGATATAAACTCCTCCTCCTACTTGCTGTTCTGCTAATAGGAGTACCCAAACTGTATATAAACCTGAATCCTTCGGTAAAAGAACCTGTTATGCCGGATCAACCGGATCTCATTCCTTTCCGTGTCAATATCCGAGAGATTCAAGGTGAACTAGTCTGGTCAATTCCTAAAGTCACGGTTGGGCTTCCAATAAGTCAAATCCAAGACCTCAGGGAAGAGAAGCCTAGTGTTCTCCTTGTGATAATTGTGTCGTCAGCGCCTTTGCGCTGGGAACGAAGGAAGGCCGTACGACAGACTTGGTGGAAACACTGCAATGTGAAAGAGGTTAGTTCTGTTTCTCACGGTTCGGGTCAGGTAAATTATGCCAGCATAATTTTTAGTTTATTGCAATAGTCAGGGTTCCGAGCCTAATGCTAGCATATTGACTAAACTTCTTAAAAATTCACTTGATGTTACAGTTCAACATGAGATCATGAATTCTGTAGACTGGATTCTGTAAACAGTGAGGCTGTTTTTCTAGTTCGCTCTTTTGGAATTCGATTCACAAAAAGAATTCTTACCCTGCTGGTGGTTGGTATGAGGGTAAGAGAGGGGGTGGGAGGGGGGGGGAGATTTTGGGGCTCTTAAAAGCCATCATATTGAATTATCAATGAGCATGATGAAAAATTTTGAGTATTATTTTCGCGTGATAACATGTATTCAAGGGTGAAGCCCAAAAGCACAATGCTGAAATTCCCGAGCATAATTAATCTAACCTGATGGTTACGTTATTGACGTTCATTAGCTTCCAAAAAAATTGTTCATAATTCTTCAGGTTACGATATGTTTCAGCAATCTTTGTTCATTGGAAAGCACTATAGCCTTATAATGAGTAAGTATCTTAGACTCGCTCTCGAGCGCAATTATTCAAGTTATGTGCCTGGTCAGTTGTCAGTCCACAAAATTATCATATCCACAATGCCTTTCTTTAAACTAAGTGCAGCATTGAACTCCGCGACGAAGATCAGAATTTTATTTCATTTTCGTAGTTTTGTAGCCAATTTTTTGTTCTTCTCACTTTTTCTTAAGCTTTTACACATTTCCACAACTTTGAATTTTTGTGGTGGACTCGATCTTCGAAATACATCCTTCCTCCACCAAGTATTAGAAAGTTAATTGCAGACTACCAGGCTCGACGGTGCAATTTAAAATCCAGTGCACCATATCATGTAAAAATAATGGGACAAAGAAGGAAAATCAGGGTTTCGACCAGGATATATCGATTTGACTTAACTTAATTTAGCTTGGGGTGGGAAACATAGTGGTTTCTTTTAGAATGAAGAACTTCTCGCCGAATACAGTTAAAAATTAACTTTCATACAGACATCTTGAAAGATATACTTCCATTTGACACTCTAGCGACATTTTATAAATAACTGAAGTGAAATTGACATATCTCAAGGCTTGGACCTACAGCCTCCTTCTATGTCCCATCATTTTCTCTCGGCCATACAGTACTAAAGATTATAACTGCCCGTGTAGGTAGCTTGCCACTTTTTCACAGACGGACTAGTCGTGAACAAGACGATCCAGGAAAATCTCTTGAACGAAACATCCCGTTATGGAGATATTGAGTTCCAACCGCTTCTGGGCGGGATAGAGTTTGGAATGCGCTTCTTGTATCACGCCAAATGGGCCGCAGCTAATTACGACTTTCAATATTTTCTTCGCACGGACGATGACTACTTTGTGTGTCTTAAGAAGCTTTTGAATGAGTTACCTTGGCGCCCTAAGCAGAATCTCTGTTGGGGAAATTTTCACTGTGAAGTACAAATGACATGGATTGACGAGTCATGGATGCTGTTTTCACGTGACATTATTGACAAATTCTTGAACCAAGATGCGCGTACCATGTTGTGTCATCCGCACGCTGGCCAGCAGATCGGCATTTGGCTCAACAATATATCAGGTCGTTTATTTTTCCATGACGTTCGTCTGAATCACGTGAGGGCTTTTGATTGGCAGGCGAGAAACGTGTGTGTAACGTACATGGGAGTTCATCGAGCGTTTGCGTCGCGCATGCTACAACTGGCCAAGACGAGTGAGGACGGCGCGAAAACTGTGCCCCCCATCTCTAAGTTTTCTTCTTATTGTGAATACGACACGTTTGACCATAGGAGGCTACACGACCCTTATTTCTATGAACCAAAGCCTTGTGTTGAGAACTCGATATGGGTGAAAAGTCACCGAATGTGGCTTGGAGAAGAAGGAAGGATTAATTAATAGTTTAGTAATCATGGACAGAACACTGTGACCCTAGAAAAACACAGCGGTCTAACGTTTGCGAAATGACTTGGTGCTTTGATTTTCAAGGTTTCAGAACCAAGTTGTCTCTTACAAGTTGCAAAAAAAGTACAAACAAGTAAGTCATGGTGTTTTAACCCTTTAACTCCCAAGATCTCATTAGTAATTCTCTTTACTGTCTGACATACAGTTCTTACGATGTCAATTTGGTGAATTTGGTATTGGATCAACTAATTATTCCCAAATTGATATTTTACTTCATTCTCATCACTTCTATGCTTGATATCGTATAGATATTGTAAGGAGAAATTCTCTCTTGGTCACTCATGGGAAGTAAAGGGTTAAAAGTGTATGATCCTTTTCGGTAAAGGTCAAAACAGAATGATAAATCAACAGTATACCCGTTCTTGAAAAAGGCTAGTGTTTAAAAATTCTTGAGTTTTCTTTTTCAGCTACTTTTGTTTCCTTTTACATTTTAATTTTCCTCCGCTCATTTTTTCAAGACAGCGATTGCTTGTTATGATTTCTTTTGACATTTTGCGCAGGACATTGGCGCGCGGCTGAGCAGAACTAATCATGCATGTCAAATACCACCGTACAAAATGTAGATTTGGACACACAAGTCATTTTATTGGTTACCGATCTGTTATCTGCAGAACAATGAAACTAATTACGAGATCAGACTTTACATTATTCTCGCACTCTACTTTGAAATTGTTGTGAATCTTAGCATCAGGGCCGTAGTTAGCATGAGGCAAGACGGGGCAATTGCCTCGTCTTGATTTTAGCCTTTTTTTTTTTTTGAAGAAACGTTTAATTGAGAAAATAATCCCTGGAAAAAATTGGATTGGTTAAGATAAAACCAGCTAATATAAGTTGGATATATTGAGGGAAAGTTTCTGAGCCTCTAGATTTCAAAATTTTATGGGGGGGGGGGGGCATGCCCCAAGACTCCCCTAGCAGTTGGCGTCTTCGGCGCTCGAAACTTGCCTCGTCTTGTTCTGAAGTCTGGCTACGGACCTGAGCATTCAATCCCATTAAAATATTTAAGAATTAATTCAAATAAGAATTTTTGATACCAGGCTGAAAAATTTGTTTTGTCCTTCAGATTTCTCTAGATTGTTACGAAGATCAAATGAAAATAATAACAATGATAAATAATATAGAGCTGTGAACTTAATATCTACTCCTATTCTATGTTTCACCAGCGGGAACCCTTTGTGGACAAAATAAATGGGTTTAAAACGTTTAGCGATGACTTTAGAGAGTAGGTCTTAAAGGCTCGTGGTCTAGTTTTGTTATGATTAGGAATTGTCTAAAGTGGATGGACGGTAAAACTGAAACAAAAGCAATTGCATCAGACACGAGAAATAGTTGGTGGCGTGGTACAGTCGCCCAGCTGAGGGAAGTTCTGAAAAACTTGAGCTATTGTCGGTAGCTCGATAGAAGTGACTGACGTTTCGACAACCTGAGCAGAAGTCAGCATCACAATCAATGCAAGCAAAGATTTTTTTGTCAATCCACGTTTAAAGTAGCTACGAATGCACCTATTGGTTACTTGGGATGTGTTGTTGTTGGCAGTAAGGTTCAAACAGCGTAAGTCCTGATAAGGGGAAATGGCGCGCACGGCATGCAGGGAGGTGGAGAGAAGGGGAGTCAGGGTTTCTCTTTCATTTGGTTAAATGGTTATTAGCCGCCAAAAAGGGCAAGATATTCGGAGTCTACAGGGTAAAAAATTGCACGAAAATTTTATTATGACACAACCAAAATCTTTTTGCAACCCCCCCCCCCCCCCCCCCCCGATGCATAATGACCAGTCCAAGTCCCTGGTCAGATGTTTACACTTAACACTTCAAATCGCATTCCTATTAGAATTTTTATGGCATAACATGTTAAGTGAAACTTTGCGGCTTAAAATTCAAAATTAAATCGAGCATATAAAATTACATCTCTACTGGATTATATGAGGTCTGTCACCATGGTATTCCATTCAGTTGAACTTTTTGTTAAATATGCACCTTAGTTAATGATCGATAAATAGATAACATTGTTTACGCACGGTAAAATCCCTCAGCTTAATCTAAGAGTATAAAATATATAATTCTGCCTAACACTGTTGTTCGCTTTGGAAATAAAGTTTGTTTTGAAAATTGAAAGTAATGCTTGGGGAATTAAACGGATTCTTTATTATAAAACAAATGGAGAGGCCTTGACTGTGCTCTGTTCAGTTATAAAGCACGCAGGAAGCGGCTAGAGCACTCAAGAAGTGGGGAGAAACACGAGACGTAGTCGAGTGTTTCTCCCTACACTTCTTTCGTGCTCTAGCCGCCTCCTGCGTGCTTTATAACAGAACAGAGCACAGTCAAGGCTCCTCTATTTGTTAAATACAGTATTATAAAAATAAAAACCTATCATATCAGTAAAGCTACTTTTCTAGGATGTCCCGTCTCATTCAAAAGCTCTAATGACGCACTTTTAAATTCGCCTAAAGATACTTTGTAGGAAAAACTTATCTTCAGAACCAATTTTTTCTCAGAATTCCTCCGTCGGTTCGATATAATATCATTCGAGATACAGCTCGAGATTGTAGAATGAACATCCTTCTTTTCCAAAACTCTAAACAAAAGAATAACCGAGGTGTACGCAACGTCATGTTCATTTAGTATCGGGTCTAAGGAAGCTTCTTCTAGCAAGATCAGCTACTGACGTAAAGAGAAAATTAGGAAATATTTGTCGGACCATCAAGCTCATTCCCTATAATTCAATTGATCAAATTAATTCAATTAAATTCAATTGCAATTTCAGGCTTTTAAGCATCCAAACTTTAAAAGCCAGACACCAATGATAACCGATAGCCTGGGGACACAGGGCCGCCGAGTCAAACGTTGGGCCTCCACTCTCGGTCTCATCTGTTGAAACTGTGGTGCCGCTATAATGCTTAATAAGCCTAACAGTTAATGGGCGAGAAAAATTAATCTTCATTTACTCCCTTTTCTTGGTTTATGGTTAATTCGCCCTATCGCAAGTCCCCCCCCCCTACCTTTGCAAGTTCGTCCCCTAGCATAAAAAAAAAAAATTCGCCCCCACCTTAACCACTTCGCCTCAAATCTTTCGACTCTTTTTTCTACCACAGAAAAACTTGTAAACGCTGCCAAGGTAAGGACTCGTAAGTTTTATGTAAGTTTTACGTAGGGTGGCGAACTTGCAAAGGTGATTGGCGGTAAACTTGCAATGGGGCGAATTCACCACCCTTTTCTTCCATAGCCGCAATCACATGTCTTGATGAAATTATGAGTTTCAATTTCTACGCTATGACAGTATTTATATCTGGTTTTCGTTGCATGAAACAAGTTGACGTTCGGGTGAATAAGATGTTGATTTACTTGCAGGTGTTCCACTCATTTTTTATTACCCTGTAAGACCTTTTAACTTTACTGACTCGTCGGCATCATTTGTATGGCGACAGAAAAGAACTGCAAAAGTCTTGTCTAAAAACCAAATGAAAAATTCCAAAACCCCGATTGTAGTTCCAGCTCATAAGACTCAGTTTCAGTGTAAGGAGAAAAAAGCTATCAGATAACACCTTGAATGCGTTGCTTTACTAACATTCAAAAATTGCACCAGTGCGTTTTTACCCTTAATTAGGATATGAAAAATGGTCTGTAATTTGAAGATAAATTCTGAATGGATGACGAAATTCTGCCATGCTGCTCCTCTTAATCTATGAAAACACACCAGCATTTAATATTGATAACCACAAACAAGAAGCAATACACTTTTTTAATCAGTTAGACAATAAAATTAGGAATTCTGATTCATCTTGAGTAAAAAACCTTAGAGGAGTATTCAACTGGTTGTTTTCTGCCCTTTTTTTATTACTTTCACTTATTTAATAAATTAATGGATAATTTTTTTAATTCTTTCTGTTTGAATCTCATATAACTTCCAGAAAACCTTTTTTTAAATTAAAGTATATTAACGTAACATCCACTTTTTTCAGTCGAATTTCACCTCACTTATTTCGTCTCTAATTTATAAAATAAAATGTTTGTTTTTCCGGACAGCGTACTTCTGTCCCTAGTACTCTGGCAATTTTCTGTCAACAAAGAATGCGTTCATTAAACTGAGATTTCAAAATTGAAAACTCCTCAATTATATGAGACAGAATTAACTAAATATCTGGCCTGGTCCCTCATAATGTGTTATATCACTAATTTAAAACTAAGTGCGGCCTCTATTAAGAGAAAGTATTGCTTTTATAATAACGACAAGTTTTAGCCAGATACCATCTGCGGGTCCTGAAATGTTTTGGTATTTTCTCTATCTCGTGACTAAATTTTCTAAAAGAAAGTATTCTTGTCTGCCTCCTTTGTTTTTCGCGTGAAATTTATAAAATTTCAAATTAACTTCCTGTGCGAGAAATCGCTTTCGTATAAGTAATCATCTTTTAGTCAAAACACGCCTACAAATGCAGTGAGAAACAAGATGATTCTTTGCTTCGTTTTGGAAATTTATTAGAAGGAAAACTGATGAGTGACAAAAATTTTTTGCCTTGCTTTAGTTTTACAATTAATAATCGCCATTGTAGGAAAACACCTTGTTACATGTAAAGACAAATTTGATGCCCCCAGTTTAAATTCAATTTTTCGTAATCAATACGAGAAACCACAAGCAAACTATATTTGACAGCGGAAGATGTAAGAAAATAATAAACCACATTAGAAATTACTGGACTAGACTAGAAAATTAAAATTTCTCTAAGTTTACAGCAATTATCAGGCAAAACATTTGTAACCTAGTTTCTTTTCGCAAAAATTTAGCGCCACGGATTTTGAACTGTAACAACTAGTTCCGTCATGATGGCACAGATCACTTTGCACTGACCACGCGAATTAACTTCACTCCTGTTACGGGTTGTGAATGGTTGTTTAGAAACTTTGCAAAACCATCAACGCTGACTTCATCGTCCGAGAAAGCTAGGTTTTCTTCTGGACTACCAAGACCTTGCTGCAGCGATAAAGCCTTTCTAACGCTTCTCTTGAACCTAGAGCTCTTTCTTGAATTTCTGTTTTCGCCTCGCTCTCCTTCCTTCTTCAAATCGCATTTCCTACTGAGTTCTAGCGTGTTATTTGCGTTGTTGTTGCTTTCGCGCGCCGCTTCACGTTGTCGCATTTCACGTCGGAGACTCCTTCCAAATAAATCTGTTTCGAAGTAGCACACACGCGATGATTCTTCCGCTGTCGCAAGTCGAGCTGATTCAGAGCCGGAAGAAATTTCCTTTATCGCTAGCTCGATCGCATGCATCCAGCGATGTCTCTGCAAGTTGGTATGGCATTTCAAAAGCCATATCCCTTCATCGGTAACTAACTTGAATCTATAGCTGTACGTCTTTCGCCTCACGACAGAACATCGTGCGTTCGCTGTGATTTCAATTTTATCACAATATTCTTGCCACAGGTCGGTACGATCATCGTAAAAATACAAAACACAATTTTTCAGAATAACCCAATATTCAAACCATCTTTCCTTCTCTTCTTCCTTCTTCAGAAAATCCTCGTGTAGCGGTTCGTCCATTTCTTGCCGTCAGTTTTACGTTTCTTTCACGTTCAACTGCGACGAAGCAACACGTTTCTCGAGTGAGCGAGTATTGAATGAGCGTTTCACACAGTGTGAAACCCACAAGTTCACACTGAATAAATTATTGATGGCGGTTTATTTGCATTGTAAGCCCTTTATCTACAGAACACCTGACAAATGGTCTATCGCGCACGCTTGCTAAATTTCTGGAGATAATCTTCAAGAAGACAACCAGACAATACATCATAAACGTGCAAAGACTGAAACACGTTCAGTAAAGTACGATAAGTTTTTCGCTTTTGGGATGTCTGACGTTTATATCTCGAAATTTTAATAGAAGTTTTTTATACTTAACAGGTGCAGAATTGAACCCCACAGGTAAAGTGCCATGAAAAGGTTATTGTAAATTGAGTGAAAAAATAGTCTGAAAAATTCTGATGTCGATGAGGTTGAAACAAATGCTCCCTAGTCGTTATTTAGTCGCTACCATCGACTCCGCTGAGAACAAACGTATTGGAAGCGGGCGCAAATTTTTGTTTTCCTTGGATATTACATTTCAGCTGGCCAAACAAACCTTCATTCGGTACAAACAAGCCTTCATTCGGTACAAATATGTCTTCATTCGGTACAAACAAGCCTGCTTTGGAAAGCCGAAAAATGTTACGCAATATCAAAAAAATTTACTTCGTATCGTGTATGGCTTTTATTTTTTTATTTATTTATCTTTTCACCAGGAGAACATTTCGCCAGTTATAAGAGTAATTTAAACCAGCACTTAACAGCAGGGTTCTCGTCCACGTTTTCCTTCTTTAACAAATTAATCATTCGCTCACTCTCGTTTCTAAAAATACATCGCCCCTGCAGTCTCAAGGATGATAATGGTTAACGACAAACGGTTTTCTTTTCCTTTTGCCTGAGTCAATATCAAACTCTATTGCAAATTTTCGGACAAAAAAATCGACAGAAAGTGAGAAGGATCACCGGTCTTTTAAAATGAATGATTCTGACAACTTCAAAGAAATTTGAAAATATGCCTTTATAAGTGAAAGATCTTGATAGCCTCAGGCATCTCCTTAAAACAACCAGACCAGAGATCTTAAAATCAACTGCTTCGCTGTAAAGTAATTCTTTTTTCCAAAGGACCCTCTTGAGCGATTTCTTTCACCAGCTATTGTTTGACAGCTATTGTTTGACAGCTATTGTTTGACAGCTATTGTTTGACAGGTGTCATTTTTTTATTTGCTAGACATTTGTTATTTTATGTTTGCTTTGCAGTATCTCAAGATTCTAATGAGTAAAAATTTTGCCAAGTGTGAAGAATGAACTGAAATAAAGAGAGCTTCATTGAAAGTCGAACTTTCTTGACATCCTTACATGACCAAAAAACAACTTTTTAATAATCGTTCTGATGCCATTTTAATGATTCTTTTCTAAAAAATTTCAATTTTTTCTCGTATATTAGAACTGATAACTTGAAACATTCGACAGCTTTAGAATATTTTTTTGTTCAGGTCTTTCATCGTATTCACATCCAGCTTACTAAATGATGCGAATACTATCCTAGGGATTTCCAATTTTGTCATAAACAAGAGTGGAATACACTCTTAATAACTTCAGTAGCCCGCAGTGATATTTCGTAATTTATGCAATAGGGAAATATCAATTCATCAAAATTAACCCTAGCTTTTGAACACAAGTTGACCGTTGGCTGAAGGGTCTGATACGTAAATTACCAAACATGCACTATATTTAAGTATCTAATGATCCTCTTATCATACATGCTCGACCTACATCTCACATCTTTGTTTTCAACTTCGGAACCGAATTGAAACATTTCTATCTGGACCCTAACCCTCACCCTAACCCTCCCCCCTCCCCCCCCACCTTGGCTCCTAAACAATCTTTGTCTCCTTCTTTCTTTGTTTTTTTTTTAGTTTTCAACCACAGTAGAAGTTACGTTTGCTTTTGGCTTACTTTACAGTCCACTTCGTACATCCCCCCTTCCCACCCTCGACCATTTACCAAGCAAAGGAAAAGCGCACCAAGCGAAAGTTACACGAATTCATCTGACAAAAAGGATCAGAAATTTAAAAGAAAGGGAAACAGGGGCTATCTTGAGCCTAATTCTCCCATGGTGCAACACAATGCGCGCACTAACGCTACCTTTGAAACATTTGCTTTTTGTGACAATATACAAAATTTATCATTTCTTCAAGCTGTTTAGTTTTAGCATACACAGGTCCAGATATACTGCTTGCAGATATCATCTCAGATACAGAGACCCTAAAGTTTATAATTAAAGATCCAAATTCCCGCAATGCCATAAGTTACCCACATGGCTTGTGGCCGAGCAATACAGTCCCTTATATCATAGACAGAAGCATTGGTGAGTATTCCTAGAGTCTGAAGGGTGAATTGCAATGTTCCGATAGGCAGCTTCGACGTCGAATAACTTGATGTACTGTTATGAAATGTAATGTAACTGCATCAGGGTTAATACCGTCATTCACGCTGGCCCCTTCGAGGGAGGAGAGATCCACAATGAGACGCCACTTTCCCGGTTAACCCTTTTTAGCAATAACCCCAAAACTGCTAACGTGAAGAAGAGGAAAAGGAGGGGAGGTAAAGGGGCCAGAAACCCTCCCCAAGGACACTTCAGTCGCCAAGTACTCATCACTTACTGACAGGCAGGCAGGTTTGAGAGATTGTACATGAGAAAAACCTGGTTTAAAACCAAAGCGAAGCTCATCCTGAGGATTTGGATGATGCCTCAACTCCCAGGAGGACTGCTCCACCTTCAATGGACTGACTGCAGAAACTGGAGGGAGCAGGACAAAAGGGAGGAAAGAAACGAGAGCATGCTTAGGGATCAGAAAAGCCATAACTTGTCCCCTCCAAGCAGACACATATCAGAGCTCCTCAACCACCCTATGATGGTAAAAGAGGAAGGACCAGAACCGTTCCCCCTTAACATAGGTAGGAAACAAACGAAAAAACACAGCCAGAAATAACACAATGAAACATTTTTCAATGGGCAAAGGAATCACGGCCGACCCTACTCCTAACATGTAACAACAGGGAACTATAGCTGAACAAAAACTAAGAAGCGCAGAAGCCGAAAAACAAAGGATAGCAAAATATGAAAGAACCAACTCAGGTGCGTCTAGACTTGCCGCTAGAACGTGGAGACGCTGGGGACTGGGATCTCCGCTTTGGTGTCCCACGATGGGACCCTGAAGAGTTCGAACGGCAATGCGAAAAACGACATTGGGAATAAGGGGCAGAGCGACGACCTTTTCCACGACTTGCGGAAAATTTGTGAATTGCTAGCTCCAGCAGGCCCAGCCGATTCCTTAGCAAATTCGCCACGCCCACGAGTAGAGGCACCCGCAGCCTGGAAATTAATATTGAAGAGCTGCACGGTCAGATTGGTCGCCGCCGTATGCTCGCGAAAGGCCCGATCATATGCCAGCCAGACTCGGTTGCTGAATTGCTGATTTGTGCGAAGTATCAGCAACTTATACTGTCTGACTTAAATCTTTCCACCGATGCGGAAATGGGAGGTCAGCGCAATGGAGACACATTAATACAGAAGATTTTATCGATTCATCCTTCCAAAGAGAGATTAAAAATGAACTTATTTCTTTTGAATAAGTTAACTTTATTTCATCTATAATGCTATTATGTTCGCAAACATTTTTTACTAGTACTTTCAGTTAAAAGAAGCATATCCGCTTAAAAAATTTTTTTCTGCTGGCAACTGCTCAATGTTTTTTGTCAGATATAGATCGAGATATACCAAAGCTATGGCACCGACCGACGTGCAAACCAACACACACCAGCTCTTTACTGATTCCAGCGTAGTAACCCACATCTGTAATGCGTTCAATAGTAAACTTGAGTGGACATGTGATAGCGGAGTCACATAGAAAGCTTTCGGCTCGTTTTATGTCCAGCATTCTGTTTGATAAATCATTCGGTCACGGCTTTATCGGAAGAAATGTTATTCTATGAACGGAAGAACACATTTCCTCCCAAATCGATTATGTCACATTTATTCAATCAAGTTACGCCTACATGAGGACGCCAGATACGTATAACACCGTGGATTGTCATGCAAAGTGGGAAAATGAGCAATAATGTCTACACCTGCTCAAAGAGAAAATGTTTCCCAATGTACAGCTATGTTTTAATAAAAATGATAAAAAGAACAAATTGACCAAAAGTAAGTTTCTCCGCAGGTTTATTTCCATATTTTGTGATGAGTCCCACCCAATACAGTCAAGACACCCTTAATTCAGTGAGCCTAACTATGCCCCGTTAACAATTCAACATTTGACTGCCCTTATGATAAATCAAGAACTGTACACTTGGGTGGAAAGAGCACTGCTACCTATTTAAGCAACAGGGGGCTCAATCTCCTCAATAATGATCCTGCTCACTGAGTTCCAGCCGGTGTAGGCGTTGAAAATACCATAACCATGGCACTGACCGACGTGCAAGCCAACACGCACTAGGCCTTTGGCGATTCCTGTGCAGTAGCCTTCTATGTTGGCGGAGCGATGGATGTTCAGATCGAGATTCTGGTACACAACAGCATCAATGGCGGCGGGTGCCCTGCATTCGATGTCGTTAAAGGTGAAAAACCACCTCATGCAACAGTGTTTGCAACCGGCGACGCGAATATTACCCATGTAAACTACACGGAGGTATGTGTTTGGGGTAGCCTTGGTGAATGGACATTCCTTTAAAAAAGAATAATAATAATAATAATAATAATAATAATAATAAATTTATTAGGCGTCTAGATGTAGCAGGTAACATTGCTTTTCGTCTCTTCCTACTCAATCTCGACAAGGGCGACCACTATTCCCTTTTCTCTTCAGTTTAAGTGAGCACCGATTATTTACCTTCTCGGTATATACATACCAGAACTCGTCCATTATCAGTCTCAGAATTGATGTGGTTCCAAAAACACTGTTTCCATCTCCTTTGGGTCCCAGGCTCTCCTTTGATTCCAGCTGGTCCTGGTGGTCCCACTTCCCCCTTGGGTCCAGGTGCACCATCCCGTCCCGGTAGTCCATCCCGTCCTAGTGCTCCATCTCGTCCTGGTAATCCATCCCGACCTGCTGGGCCTGGTGGGCCTTGAGTTGAACAGAATTTCTTCCTTGATTCCTATTGAAAATGAAACTTGAATAGCTATTTTATGTTGATTAATAGAACTATGTTATTTTATGCCACTCGATGAGGAAATCCTAGAGGTGCTACCTCGGTGACTTATGATTAAATATCACTTTCTAGGAGACAAGTGAATTGGCAATTTTTTAAATGCACGCGATGTATATATATGGAGCTAATTTTTTTTGACTCGGAATGTTAACGGACGTTCGAGTCGTCGCAAGTGAACTAGTATTTGAGAAATTGCATACATCGTTGAAATTATATACATCTACATCCGACCCTCATCACCACTCGATTACCCAAAATCACGTCTTATATTATTAACTCAGGAATGTTACTATGAAAAATGAAGAACCCTACATGTCTGCTGAGTGACTTACAACTTCGTTTAGTTCGCCTGTACCAATCACAGCCTGAAAGAAAAGGAGATAAGAGAGCGCTAATATCTGCAGAAGATGTTGTCGATCCATTCTTGCTGAGCAGGAGTTCACAATGCTGCGCTTCTCAGTGTCATTTGAATTAGTATACCTAGTTTTATTCACAACCAATTGAAAAAAAATTTATTAGGTCCATTTAAACAAACATATCCGTTTATTAATAAACGGAGAGAGTTCCTAAAGAAATTGTGGGGCTGCGTCGGTGGAGGAGTATAACAAGATAGCTGGTTTTATCAACTGAGTTGATAGGGTAAATTGGCCATGCACCGTAGAGATTTTTTAAGCTGCCGTTTCCAGCATTAGCCCTTCGTCAGAGCGAAGCCTTTTGCCCATTTCTTGTTATCTACTAATAAGTTTTCTTTCCGCTGGTAAAGGCAAAATTTAATTGCAAGATAGATCGATGGTTTTTCAAAATTTGTTGATAACTAATTAGAAACAATTTAGAGTTGTTGACCATGCAATTAAATATTTGCTTTTAGTTTAATTAATTAATTTTGCCGCATATCACGTATTACGATTTAAACTTGACTGAAAACGGCCAAGGTGGAAGAAACACTTCCTCTAGCCATTATTTAGTGACAACAGAGGGATTCTTACCTTCATGCACAAGCGTTACTGAACTTCATCTCTGGAAGTAGAAAAGTCTTATTGCCATATGATTTGATATTTGCCGCTAGTTTTTATTACTTATCGTATTGGTCATCACGGGCTACTTTTAAAGCCAACAGCTCAGCGGATTTGCTAGCTGTATTTCTTACTAATGGCTCGATATAGTGGCCACAGATTGATCAGTCTACTTTGGCATGTACTTTTTTTTCCCGATTCCATCTCCTTAGGTACATAAGTATGATAAACAGTCTATTCATACCATTCACCATTAATTTAATTAGCACATACATATATGTTATTTACCGGCTGGGAGGTCCGTATGGTGAAAAACTGTGAGCGAGTTCTTGAAAATATTGCCCGAGGCCGTAGGACAGACCCTTCTTATTGACCCAGGGGGAGGCCTCATAGAAATTTCTACGAACCTTTTTTTTGGGGCCGAGTGTATCTCATGAAAAAAAAAATGATTTTGTACATAATGACTGAGGGAGGGCCGGTCAGCAAAATATTTGGCCCGAGTCATCAGGTTAAGTGTTCAAGCGATACCTGAGAAAAGAAGGTAAATAGAGGAAAATTGAAGTGGTTATTAGTTTGAATTCTTTGGGAATTATATATCGTGGGATTATATTTTTATTTAAAAAATTGTTTCTTTCAGTATCATGACGTTCCAAGGAGGGCTTGTGTTCAGTTTCACCTGGGAAACCAACTTGGTAATTAAATAAAATTGAATGAAAATGAATAATGTTTAATTTATTTAATAAGTTATTTGGCGAAAGCAAGCAGTGATTTACTTAAATACATATTCTGATCCTTTACCATGCAGAAGATAAAACCCTGTGCGACAAAATCATTTATTTTCACGTTTGAGCACATTTCCTTCCCGCCGTTGGGCTGAGGGCGTTTATAAAGCCTTTTTCCCCGTCAGAAATGAGACTTATTTGTCATCTGGAAAATCCTTACCGTTATTTGATTTAGGTATGTCATGACATGATACGAAAACGTAGGGTAATCGAGCTGCTCATGCGCTGTTAGTGAAAAGTGAAGATGCAAAAATAAATAAATAAATAAAAAACCTGTCGTTACACTGTCCCTCCCCTCCCCTCCCCCCTCGTACTCACAACCAACGTAACGCCAGACATTGGAAAATGGCCTCTTGGATAGCCAAGCCGTGGATCGAGCAAGCTTTGAGGAGCCCAGATTCTAAGAGTTTACCCAAAATTGCCAGGGCGCAAGTCATCAAGGTACTTAATACAATAATTTCCCTAACATTTTTTGATTTAAGTATCTGTGCTGATTATATGGGTTGAAACTGCAAATGTAAATATGGCGCCAAACCGCGTTATTCAAAAATTTGACCAAGGTAATTGTACAAAGATTTTCTGATGCCTTTAGAAATAGTCTAGACGAATATTATTAGATGTGTTATTCTTGGTAGAAATTTTTAGCTCATCACAGCGTTTTGTTTCCATACGAGAATTTTGCAATGTTGATGGTAGTCGATCGATAATTTCTCCTTACACGTTAAAGATATATGACTTAAGATAGAGGTAAGGAGAATAGCGAACAAATATTAATTAGTAAATGTAAAATATTGCGACACTTAACTATCAGAACTAAGATGATAGGAAATGTAAAGCAGACTTACTGAGCTATTGGTTGCAAAATGGTCAATATTTCATGTGTACCTGTGTTCTTTGTTTCTTTTTAAGGTTGTTGCTGTTTTCAATAATCTCTTTGAAAGAAAAAGAAAATTATCAGAACTTACCTTCTTAAAATGTTCTATGAATGAACGGTTGCAAGGGCTTCAGAAATATAAGATTGGCAGGGGTGTTTTGGGAAGGGAGTGGGGGGAGAGGAGCAGAACAAGCCTACAACCTCTCATTTTCCTAACTAAAAGAAGTATTAGTTATGGTTGAAAATAAAATTGACATGTCTCAACTGCTATTTAAAGAGGTGTTCCTGTTGGAACTGCCTTATGGAAAACTTGGCATATTACCTTGAGGACAAATAATTAAACTAACTGTGTGTGATTTATGATTTTTAGCTTGAAGAAACCTCCAAAAATGTGGCATTAATTAGTGACAAGAAACTTTTTGTAAAAGCTTTGTTCTCAACACCAGCTATTGAGCAATTTAAAAGGTGAGCGCAAGAGGTTTAAAGTGATGTTTGTTTCAAAATGTAGATCTTATATAGATGGGGAAGGGATGAATACTTCCATGAAATTGGTGCCCTTCTCAGTTCAAACATTTTCTCAAGGGAAAGATTTCATCCTGCAAGGGATAGAGAAAGAGATGTGAGAACTATATTAAGGAGAACAAGTAAACATAGTCAATGATCTCATGGCAAGTGCATTCTGCTAGAAGGCAACCCCTGATTAAATGTTTTTGCAGTCTTATTTTATTATCTTCTCCATTTTTCTTATTATGCCTACCTCTTGTACACATCTGTTCCAAAAACTATGCTGCGATATCTTCTGTAGATATTTACTTATGTCTACTTATTAATGTTATTAATGCCTGAATTGATGATATGCATACGGTTTTTGAATTAGAGTCATTTTTGTTATCTATTGCTACATGTATGTGATACTTTTCCCAAATTTAGTTTAAGACGCTGGTTACATTGATAGAGATTAAAAGGAAAGTGCATTTAAAGATCAGGTTTTTAGTTGCCCTACTTTTCTTAAACTTAAGCTTCCATTCTTGGTTCTTAGCTCAAAACATATCCTATTTACATTTGGTTTTTTCTGATATAGAGACAACTCTAGCCTTTCTCTACCTGACATCCAAGGTGGACTTATATTTATCAAGAAATACTCTGTGCAAGTTATGGCAGAAAAAGACTGGGTAAGATGGGGCTTTTCAAAATCTTTGTAGAGTGTTTTAGTCATAACAAATCAATTTCACAGGGAAGCTAGGAATACTGTTACCCTCCATTGCTATCAGTTCATCATGCCCTATGGAAATGAGGTGCTAATTAAGTGTAACATTGACATGTAGAATTCAGAAATGTTCTAAACTTTTAGTATATTTGTGTATATAATGTTTTGGCTACTAGTAGGTAAATTTTGATCAGGTCAATATAATCATAATTACAATTTTTCCTTATAAACCTGGCCCAAGTTGTTAAAAGGGTACGTGGAAAACTATATTCACTGGACAAATCTTTATCTGGTGGATAGCATAGTAGATTTTGCTGACACTTAATTGCTGGGTAGCAATTTATCCACTGGATAGCATTATCCACCCTTTGAAAGATCGGGTCCTTTATCTCACCTATGTTTTGCAAAATGTATGTCACTATTTGTTTTATGTGCTCCTGACCAAATGAGTGTCTTAATCTTTGAGTTAACATTCATAACCCTAATCGTTTTTCAAAGTGGCCTTTTGGGGCAGTCAAGGGAATATTCCCTTGGGGCAGTTTAATCAGGCTTATCATGTTCCACTTCACAGTGTCATGGGATGACCATTATGATATAAAGCTCCTGAGCAAATCCACATAATACAACTGTTACATTTATTGTAATTTTTTTACAGTCACATAACAACAAGATAACCTCCAAAGCGCAGTATTTTGCCAGCTTTATCTCAAATTTCTGCTTTTGATTCTCCTTGAGGTAGTCATTGTGTTTCACTCCATGTCTCCCTATTTTTTGTGGGAAAAGTTAGATGGCATGGGCTGATTCCTTCTTAACCAATTACTTAGTAGTTACTAATTATTTTAATGATTGTGGGCTGGCATCTGATCCAACTGAAACTGTATACCAGTAAAAGTAATGCTTCAGTGGTGTGTTGTTTAAGAGCTGTTGCAAGATATAAGTAGTCAAGCCAATTCAGTGGCTCTTCCAGGTAACCCTTTCAGAGACTAGAGTTGACCGTCGTAAAAAGGTTGATGATTGCCCTCCTCTATACAAAACTTTCTCAATTGTTTTTGCTCATTTTTTTTCTGTTTTCAAGTCTGTAGGAAGGTATACAAGCCTGGGTAATTCTATAAGCTAACCACTTGCCAGTGTAGACTGGCAGTGATTTTGGAATGGATAGAAATCGACGGAAGCACGAGTAAAGTGGCATTTAGTTTATTGATTTGAAGGTTTTCACTTGGGCTTTCCATTCAGGGTGATGCTGAATTTTTGATCAACATTTACCACTTTAAGTTTGCTGGAGGAGAAGGTAACACGCAGTTTGGGGGAGATATTACAGATGCTTCAACATATCCTTCGTTACAGCAGCGACTGAGGGAGCTGTGGTGGATTGCACAGCTTAGAAGTCTCCTAGACAATGCACAGTCTTGTCAAGAATCACATGAAGATGGCTCTAACCTCAACTTCAATGAAATCAACAAAACTCTGCTTAGGAGTCATGAAAAGGTCTTTGTCCCAGATGAAATGGAAAAGAAACTAGCAGAGATTCCAGGTAAATGATTAAATGCATTGTTACTGCTTATGGATTATTGTACAATGTAGCATGTGAATAAGTTTTGTTATAGAAGATGTTGTTTTTGTCTATCGTTGTTATACAGATAAATGAACGTTTGATAGTTTGTCTCACGATAAGTAACAGGCTATCCGTTGTTAGTAAAAAATGGATAATTGGATAATGCAATTCAAGAGTTTTCATCGACTTATCCATCACTGGTTATGAGCCGGTTTACTGAAGAATATTAACCAAAGTAGTATGTAATTAGAGCGCCCTAAAATAGTTTCCATGAAGATTAAAAGAAACGAATTTGTAGAAATATATTTACAGTCAAAGATTAAAAGAGTATGTAAGAATTTGATTGTTTTATTTATTTAGAATGGAAGGCAAGTTACTACCCACCTCAATCCTACGATACAGATAGCGAACCCTCGTCCCTTGGAAGAGAATCATCATTCACGAGACCGTCAATCTCCCTCGTAGCTGTAGAGGACAATATCACCAAACTCGAAACTAGAGACATTTTCGCCTCTCAGTCAAAACAGGAAGGGCGAAAAAGAGTTAAATTTGTTGGAAATGAGACTTCGGGTGAAATGAGTGGATGTGTTCCTATTTCGGTGATCCGTGAAAATGAGATTTCAAATAATAGTGATAAAGTGGGAATTAACGAGCAGGTAAAGTCTGTAGTAGAACAATCAAGTATTGTAGAAAACGGAGAGAAAGCTAAAACAAGCGAGAAAACAAGATGTTGCCTACAGGAAGAAGATGGCGTACCGTTGGTGAGTAGTAGCTCAAGTTATGTACCGTCTTCTCAAACACATGCACATGTCGTCACCATTCAACCTTTGGAGGGGCTGATACCTGAAGAGTTGTTTTTGTCTTGGAGTGAGGGTTCACAGCCGAGAGAAAGCAGCGAAGAATCGTACTCCATTTTGCATGGGGGATCTGCTGCCGGCGGGGAGGACGAGGATGTATCTTTTGTGCCCTCAAGCCAAAATAGCCATGAGCTCGACCCAGCACCACAACTTCCCCATGTAACACCTGTGCGATGTCAACGTGACTGCTCGTTATCGGAGTCGCAGTTGGAAAAATTGTTTGAAAATAGTGTTTCCTTTGATGAAGTCACCACACCGCCCGGCTTATCAGGTGTTCTTTCTCCAACTCCAGAGTGTTACACTAAGATTAAACCTCAGGAAGTGTCTCAAGAAGACTCTGAGACAACGCTGTATAAAATTTTGTCTGGCAGACGAAAATGTAGTTCTCAGTCTTTTAGCTCGAGGAGGACTGATGTTAACACGGCATGTTATTTTTCATGTCAAGAAGCAGAAAAAGAATCAACTCTAATTTTTGGAAGCAAACCGAATATTCTAGGTAACACAAACTCTAAGGAATCTACCATTTCGTCTTCGCGGGGAAACTCCGTCAGCAAGTCATCAACTGGCAAACAGCCCAACCGGGTAAACTCTAATGTTGAATTTGATATCTTGTTCTCCCAAAACACTTGGAGTGTATCTCAACCATTTACACAAGAATTAAGTGCTGATTTAGTTGAAATTGACAGACGTCAGTCTATCAAAAGGAGACATTCTGAGACTGAGGATCATTCGCACAAGACACACCTATCAGACAAGCAAGAAAAAGAAGTATTTTATGGGGACGGTACAGTTAGTCCAGGTGAGTGAGTAAAAAAAGTATTAAGAAGACAGATAGACGGAGAGACAGACAGACGAGTGAAAGGGACAATCAAACAGGAGCGTGGCTAAATTTCTTGGCGCCGAGATGGTAGTTGCAAATTTTCAGCCGAATCAAAGGCTGCGCTATTTTGGGATCTCTGATCTTTCACAACCCAAACTAGAATACGATAGCGTTACATGCTTGTTATATATTCTTCTTTTGCAGATAGAACATCATTCTCACCCAACAGTAGTCAGGCTGGTTACTCTCAAAGTCAGCGATGCAACAACTCTGTAAGTCACAGGGCAACGCGTTACGTTGGTAGAAGAATGAAGATGTTAAGATAGACTTTATTTAGCAAGTGTAACTTTAGAAAGTAATTTAACTGATGATTTTGTGGCCCTTGTGGTAGCAAAGTCTTATAATTTCCTTCAGCCGCTTTCAAAGGAAGTTTCCTATTTACTAACTGTTCTTTTTTTTTGTCTTTGGTAATTCGATAGCTCACTATTTCCCTGGCCAAGCCTACTTTCCTATATTCACAACAGGATCCTTTGGTTCTGGACACGTCAGGATCAACAGGTACGCTGACAATAAGTGCGAATCTTGTGCTTTGATTCCAATTTGATATTTTCGTGATGGTTTTTTTTTTAGAATAATTCCGGCATTGTAATTCATCATGGTCAAATGGGCCATACTGGACAATAATGCGCAACTGTTGTTTGTGCTTAAGTTGTTTGCTCACAATGACTCAGTGGTTATTTGATGTATAAACAAGCCTCGATAATTGGCGTTTATTTGTTCTTTGGATTTCGCGATCGGCAAGTGAAGCAGTAGACTTTAAAATCATTCAGCAAAAAATACCCAGGCACAGCTGCTATATCGAAAGAAGGACAACGACGACTGTCCTTCATTTGAACCGAGGGGCGTATGTAAACCAGGTGGAGGTACTCTATAGAATTCTAGGTAAAAAAATATGAAACCGTTTGCTGGATCTACTGTTTACACAGAGGGAAACAAGTCGTCTGAGGAAGAAGAACCTTTCACGTTAAGAACTCCGACGTTTGGCTCTCTTCCATCTTTTCAAGTAAGTTTTTGCTGTTTTATTCATTTATTCATTTATTCCTTGACCAGCACGAACTCAGAGTCAATTTATCGAACTACCCTAAACTTTACTAAAGGTTGATTTTAGGTTAAAAAATATGAGTTACAAGCGTTGATTAATAAAAAAAATTAAAACCTGTAATTAGAAATAAATTGTAACTTAGCCATGTATATTTGTTGTCATTAAACGATAACTACCGCGTTAGCTCCAATAACATGTTTACTTCCTATAAAAGACTTGCTAACAAGCCGATTCTTATACAAGTTTCAAGTATGTGCTAACATAGGTATTTTGTTTGTGGGGTAACGGGGTTAAAGACAGTGGCCTCATTTTGATTTTGAGCTTTTTTTAATTTTATTGATTTGTTGATTAATTTTTTAAAATAGATTCCTGTTGAAAAAGGCGAATCACTCAATCGAGAAGGCGAGGTATTAATTTCAAAATGGAGAACTATGTTCATACATTTGATAGTGTAATTAAGTGTTATCAACTGAGTTGATAACGTCAATTGGCCTCCGTAAAGAACGCAGCACTACTGCTTCATACGTTTGATAACCTTTTCATGGTGGCTGAATGTGGAATGTTTCTTTACCGGATGTATGCAAGCGATTTTACTTTAATGTGTCAAATTTCTTATTTTCCAACTGATTGCCAAGAATCAAGTTGTTTGTTGGTCATTTGTCGATTAAAATGTTATGTTGAAATATTTAAATTTAGCTGATTTAAATGTTATCCTTACCATTAACTTCAATAGTCCACAAAGCAAAAAGATGCTGACTTCGTCGAGAGTATGTTGAAAAGCTTTGGTTCAAAGAGGAAGAAACATCGTAGGAACTTTAATTGGTTCTCAGATGCGTATTAACGAAGGTATGTCACCATATTTTTGTAACAGGTCATTTTTATCGTATTGGAGAATCAGAGTGAAACCTTGATTTAAACATCTGTAAGGTTAACGAACACCAAATTGGTACTGACTCTAACCATTAAAAGGACAGTGTTTCGAATCTCACCAAAAATTCTTTAAAAAAAAAGGCTACGTTTGAGTCCAAAATGTTCTGAGGAACAGATTTCTGTCAATTTTTTTTTTCAGCAATGGGATAATAGCCAACTAAATTCAGCGACGAAGTGATTTAAAGGGTTACATTGCTTTTTTTTTGTTGTTTTTTTAATTTTTTTCCTTCAATTATTTAGTTTAGATACAAGTGTATGGGCCCAACGAGGTGTTCCACCTGAACGGATTGTTGGGTGGTCCTTCGCCTGGATAGAGGTGAATTCCATGATCGCCATGCGAAAATAAGAATGCCACAGTGATTTGCTTATTATCAGGATTACAATCGACTTCATCATCGCTCAACTTGGATCCGCGATCGATGATTTTGCTTTGGATTTTCTGCACCTTGTGACAGAAAAAGTTATTCTAATACTGTCTTTATATTTTTGACCTCCTGCACCAAAACGAAAAAAAAAACATTTTTTCTAATAACATTTTACATAAAGGTGTCATCTCATCAATCATCATTGACCGGTCAAATTATATATTATTTCATTTTTTAATTGTGGGTTTATCCTTTATCACCTCTCCAAACTGATAAATAAACTCAGTTCTGGTTATTAATTCAGCTTGCAAGCTGTAACTTTACAACTCTTAAGTAAAAATTAGTATTGAAGGGAATCAATAATGTTGCTATTAAAAGAAACAATTATTCGACTTATCCTCGATGGGAAAGGTTGACAAGTTTCCAACTCGTCGCTGCATTGGTCTTTTTCCACTCATTTATTATCTATCTGTGATCTCATATCCAGCGGGCTATATTAACGTAGATTTATTACTTTGCATCCCGAATTGGTGACATGCTTGTCTTAAGAAACTTCTAGACTCGGCTAACTTTTCGTTCCCATATTATTCCATCACAAGGCCAGGCGTAGGGTTCCTTAATACGTTAACATGGTCAAACATGTACACTTGTCCAGATCTATCAAAATGAAAAAAAATCATATTTCGTTCCTAAATTTTGACAGGAAGAAAAGATTAGAGCTTTATCAAAACCATCTGCCGAAAACAACAGCATAACAAAGTTAATCTCTGCAAATATTCTGTCAGTTCATCGGTACTGATAATGAAAGTTGAAAAAAATTAGTCATTTATTTTATCAAACTTTTTGATTTATTTTACTGTCATACAAGTACATTTAAAAAGATTGGCAACTCTTAGCCGTCTCGCCTACATTCACCAAAATTTTAGGCTTCTTTTGCTTGTTTCCATAATGCGTTGTGGTTTTCCTTATCTCCGTTTGTCAACTTTTGCATCGTACGAGGCAATGTGACTCATTTATTTAAGATGCGAATTTAATTTGATGTTGACCAGTTGTTAAATTCAATAGGAGTCGTCGCATTATTTTTTTTTATTTTATTTTTTTTTTCGCTAGCGTCTTCTATCCACTTGACTCGAGTAAAATCTCTCCCCTCTACTTCAACCTTCAAATCTGTTCACTGTGACCGCAACATCGTTTCAAAACATGAACTCTATTTTGTTACTATGTTAACGGTTCGCTTCAAACAATTTAGGTAAAAATCTTTTTATGTAAAGCACTACTGATCCCGAAAAGTCTGACATATTTCCATTTCTTCGACTGAAGGCGCGTTCCAGGTCTCATGAATTATACAGAGACATGATACTCGTGATTTAGAAAAAAATCCTACGAGAAGATGTGTCCATCGGTAAGAAAACAAAGAAGAAAGAAAAATTAAATCATTCACGAATTCGAACAGAACATTTGAATAGCAACGTTTGGACCTTTTGTTCAAACTAGAATCTAAAACAACCATTGGTTGATTTGCATATCTGATTTGCATTAGATTCAAAACAAAGCTCCTTTGATGTGTGTTTTTATCTTTTGACCCTTTTTCTCTGGTTTCAGAGACCACCTTGGTGATTTTAAGTGCATTTTTGCCTTTCGTTCTCCACATTACTCTCCTGAAATGTAATCGATACCCACTTATTTAGAACTTTGGAAGAGGTAATCCTGCTAGATGCGCTCTCCTTCAGAGTTTTTGTTTAAATTTGCGTGGAGTCATTACACCTGTCTCAGGCACTCAGACGTAAACTTGAATATTATCAGCGGGAGAGACAAGCGCCCCAGCACGCATGCGTCAGGGTTGTACACAACATTAAAGATCGCTTCTCGCTCAGAGCGAATGTTATTTTGGTCTTGCGGGCAATCATCATGGAGGCCGGTAAGGATGCTTGTATGCTGCAATTTAATAGCGATGCGAAACTAACGTCAGAAGAATTCGTGAAAGTCTTCAAGGAATTTGACAAAGACGGTAAGAATTAACCAAAGTAGAATTAAAAATTGCCTATCTCGAGCGTGTTGAATGAACGATTAGTTGAGTCACATAAAAAAATTTTCTGGCATCCCTCTTTTGTTTTCAGGGAATGGTTACATAGAAGCAGACGAGCTGAATACGTTTTTGGTGACTCTCCTGCAGGAGACAGGCAACGAGGTAATAAAAGCGCTTTACACGGTGACATATATTTGTTTATCACATTGAATTTTAGAATATTTTGGTACGAACTGTGAACCTGAGGCTTTTTCACCGCACTCTGCGAATTGTTCAAATGATCTTGTAAATCGCTGTTAATATATGTATCTTTTTCCTTTAAAGCCCAACAAATGTGAATATTCTTGTCGTATCAGGTACTCACACTGGCAAATTTTCATCTCGAGATCTGTGATTTTAATAACTTCCAGGGGCGATCTTGTATAGATCGTCGTAAGCTTTTCGATGTTTTCGAGGTCAAGCGGTTAAAATAGTTTTACTGATCCATGAGGATTTCCTATTTTGAAGTGTTTCTTATATAATTTTTTTTTTATTATTGAACAGACATTCAATTCTTTTAAACTGGCTCGCTTGTAATATTTAGCTTAGTTGTCCGTGAATATTGCATAAATTTAATCTCGCGTTGTAATTTTCATTTAATTTAATATGCAGCAATTACAAAACCAATGTTGTTTTGCTTAGAAAATGTTAAATGATTTAAATACAGAATCACGGCCATGTATTTCTTACCCGCCTTTGCTCACGTCATTACGCGTTTCCTGCGGTATTTCTTAAAATTTTTGCCCTGCTGAATGCATTAATAAAATGTTTACAAAAGTACCTGAAAGTTTACAGATTAAATACTGTATTTTATGAATCCTTTTAGTAGTGAGCAGTTGGTTCTCGTTATGTTTAAGTTTTCCAACCTAATAACTATTTAATGAATTTTGGGTTTTTTCTCTGAGCGAGCTAATTACAGAACGATTCATTTGGGATTCGAAAACAGCTATCTTTTAGCACGAATTTCACATTTGCAAAAGTACTCAGTGAATTGCATTTTCAAGACGAACTGATCTTCGGCAAAGATTTAATCGTGAAGGCGTTTTACGCATTACCTTTATCACGCCGATCTTTCGTAATTATGACAACAAAGCAGATTTTATTGGTCGAAGAGCTTTTCCATACGATGCACATTATTTATTTATGGAGACGCTCGCTTACTTTCAGTATTGAATTTTTTCCTATGAATTTTTTCCACTTTTGCAAAATAAAATATGGAAAGATCTTATTGTTTCGTTTTGACAAGTCTTTATATAAAAAGTTATTTTTATGAGCCTTCTAAAATCTCATGGGATCGTGTTCCGCGATCAATGATAAAAAACGATGCCAAAATAAAACAAGAGTCATGAAATATATAGATGTTGCTATTTTTACTAATTTTAATCAGTGCAGCTTAACCTTAAATGATTTGTAAGCCTATAGGGACGATAGAGACGTTTCAATTGTTGTTATATGTACTTCGTTTCGGTAGTTTACGGTGGAACTTAAATGGGCTCATGTGAAACCTTACTGAGTTGTGGACGAAAAAGAAAAAAAAACATATATAGATATATATAGATAGATAGACAGCATAGTAAAATTTACTTAAAAGTATTTCCAGACAAGTGTGAGGGCGTTTTTGTTTATTTATCCAGAAGTATCTATGGACTGCATCTCATCGCACTGTGTTGATAATAAACGAATGTAGCAATTATCGTTTTAAGGGTGATTTTCTTGTTCCTTATTAATATTTCAGGGAGGCTACACCGCAGAATTATCTTCGATGCCTTATCAAAATACAATGGCCATTGTAAATCTGCTCTCGTTGCGTTGGTTGGAATTATCGCCATAGATATCGGGTCATCGACCCTGCGTTCAAAACGTCAATCAAATGCTATTTACTTTCCTTCGATTTTCAAGAATTCTTGGAAGACACAACTTGGCGTACATTTTTTCTCCTCTTTACAGAATCCAATTTCGACCTTAAAATGAAGAAAATACAACCAATCACAGTTCAAGCTATCGAAAATTGTTACGTCGCATTTGAAGAACACCTTTCAAAATAAAAGTAATTTCTGACTGATAACATTAAAAAATCTGTCAAATCCGTTGCACTTTCGAGGTTTGCCGGTAAAAAAGAATGTTCAGTTGTAACCAAAGTAACCTTGGAATGATCTTATCTTATCAAAGAAACCCTTTTTGTCGACTAATGTGGCTTTTTACTTTTCGTTTTGTTTATGCTAAATTGAATAATGTTCCTGCAGTATTACACTATACGTTCTCCCCTCGACCGTTTTGTGTACGTCTTGGAAAATAAAGAACTTGAGGAAATATATCATGAAGGAATATGCAAAATGTGAAAATTTGTTTCGAACGCGGTTAGCGTTCAGTGTGGCTTTAGATTTACCTATATAGTTCGCTCTCCATGAACGAGCAGGCCGTTTGTGGTTAAAAGTTAATTGAATCAATAATTTATAAAGGTATCTCTTTAAGCGATCTTCATCAAAACACTGGGGGACAAATGTGGCTAATACTCACAACGGGTGATGTAAAATAGCGCGTATAGAATGGCTAAATCGGTATCTCATGAATAGCTCCTATTTGGGCACCATTCATAATGATCCTTCTTTCACCCTTTGTGGGAATTTTTTTCTATATATCACCCATGATTCTGTTTAATTTTTGCGGTTGTGCAAACTGCTTCGAATGAGAGTATGAAAAGGACTATTTGGTAGCATGTTGAGTTTGAAATTGATCACAGCTCCTTGCAGACTGAGAGGTAATTATCGATATCATGTCTTTTTTATTAAATATAAAATAACCAATCACAAATGTATCAGTGTCATGAGAATTTCGGGCGTTTTCTCTCACGCCTCTTCCACAAGTATCCGGAAATTTTTGACACGGAGATTATTTTTTTACAAGTAAAAAAACTAGACAGACGTGAACGGCGCCTTAATGGTTTAAGGTTCTTCTCTGATAATATGCTGTGTATAGATTTGTACTTTAGCGAGTCGTATTGTGAATGTTAAAATTATTGATGAAATAAGCCTCAAAGCATCTCAGATGTCTGATGAGCAGATATACCTTTGGAGCACAATGTACATCCAAATTTTGGGGATAGTTGGCCATGAAGAGGCGATTTAATTGAAAAGTTAT